GGCCTCCGCCTCCTCGTCCCCCTCCGCCCGCGCGCGCCCCAGGGGCCCCCGGAGCGCGAAGCTGCTCGCCGCCTGGCTTCGGAGCTTGGCTCCCACCGTCATGATGCCGCCGCCCCACTGGAGAAAGTCTCGGAGCCCGAAGACGCCGACCTTCGCTTGGCGCCCGCCCCGGCCAGTCCTAGGGGGCGGAGGCGGGGGAGACTTGGGGTGACAGCGCCCCCTGGCCGTGGGGACCGGGATGGCGGCGACCCCAGCCTCACCTGGCCTCAAGAGTCCCACCTGTTGGCCACAAGGATGCAAAACACTCCCGGGCATGTACAGTGGGGCCCCGGTTCGTCCTTGATCAATGCGAGGAGATTGCTTCCTGAAGGTGACACTCGGAGCAGCCAAGGTGCAGTAGGGCGGCCATCTGGAGACAAGGTTCCAAGCGCAAGGTGGAGGCGAGCTTTGGCAGCAACAGTAAGTCCATGTTCAGACTCATGAGGCATCGTGTCCATCCGCCTCACAGTAGAGACACACAGCGTGAAAGGCGGTGAACCTACCCAGATGGGGGAGGCCAAACCTCTGGAGTCCACGTAGGGTGGGGTATTACTACCGTCATGATTTTCTACAATACCACTCTGGTAGAGATGGGTCATGGTTACTCAGAGTCTCAACCTGTCTGGAATACCTTGGGTGGTGGTAGTGGTGGTGGTTTGTTGTTTGTTTGTAAGACAGGTCTTGCTCTGCTGTCCGAGTGTAGCCTTGAACAACTAGACGCAAGATCTCTGCCTGCCTCGGTCTCCCCAGTAGTTGGAGTTTACAGGCTTGCGCCTCTGCACTCAACTTTTTCCTTTTTGTTTTGTTTTTGAGGTGGGGAGAGGAGGTAGGGAGCAAGTACGTGGCTCTAAATTCTGGTGAATGTTAATAAAACATGTCACTATAATTAAATAAAACATAAATTACCTCTACATTTTATAAGTACTTTAATATTAAGGTTTGGTTTAACTTTAACAATAGTTTATATTGGTGTAAGTACATGTAGTGTTTGTAATTTAACAAAGAATTCGTTTTTGGATTTCAACTTAAAATGGGTAATATAAGCAATTTAGACTTACATAATAAGTGACTTAAGTTATATTTAAATGTGTAATCTTTGTGTATATAGTTTGACATAAATTAATATGAAAGGGATATGAAATAAGTTTAATTCACTATATTTATAATAACTACATAGTTTTGTTACATGATTGAAGAAACTGAAGTGAAACATTTAGTAAATAATTAGGACATATTAAGTGTGTAAAAGTTGCTTAAATATTGAAGGGAATTAAATTAAGCAAATGGTAATCTTCATACATAGATTGTAAAAGTTTATTCGTTTTGTAACTAGTTTAAAACCTTACGCAAATTGGCTTTAAAAAGTTAAACTAGTAACTCTCATCATTTTATTACAGCAACTACTATTTTTAAGTAGAAGCCCCAGTATTCCTTTTTCTTTTTCTTTTCATTTATGTCTGGCTTTTATTTTTCAACTGTAGGATTCATCCATATCATTTTTTTGTACTTTTTTATTGTAAAAATGCTGTACAGAGGGGCTACAGTTACATGAGCAAGGTAATGAGTACATGTCCTGTTGAGCATTGTTGCCTCCTCCTTTGTTCCCCCCACCATCCCTTCCCTCCCCACCTCCACAACTGAAGTTGTAAAGTTCCAGTATTCCTTTTTCTTGTACAAAATGACAAGGACACCATGCTACTTGACTATTATCAAATGGGAGAAAAGGTGGACTGACTGTGGGTCTAAAACATGTTTTCCTCTATACAAACTACTGCTCGAAGATGGACGATGGTGGCTCATGCTTTTAATCCTGGCTACTCAGTAGGCTGAGGTCTGAGGATTGCTTTGAAGCCAGCAGGGGCAGGAAAGTCCATTAGATTCTTTACCTCCAATTAATCACAAAAAAATTCTGGACGTAGAGGTTTGGCTCAAATGGTAGAGCACCAGCATTGAGTGAAATCAAGCTAAAAACCAGTGCCCAGGCCCTGAGTTCAAGCTCTAGTAATCCCCTGTTCCCCCCAAAAAAACTCATGATTGAGGTTGAATCCTCAATCTGAGGATTAAGGAGATTTGAAGCCAGGTTGGGCAAGAAAGTCCCTGAGACTTTAATCGCCAATTAAGCACCCCAAAGCTGGAAGTAGAGCTGTGGCTCAAGTGTTACAGCATCAGTTTTGAGTAAAAAAATCTAAGGGAGAGCACCCAGGAGCTGAGTTCAAGCCCGTGTGGGCACAAAAACAAATAAGCAAGAAAGCAAAGAAACAAAATGCCTTTTTTCATTTGTTTGCGTGGTACTGGGGTTTGAACTCAGGGCCTCACTGGGAAGCTGCTCTACCACTTAAGCTCTACCATTTAGCACTTAGTCCTAAAAAAAAAAATCCTTCAAAGAGTTATTTCTGATAGAAGACGTCTTATAGTTCAAACAGTGGTCAAAATAAATGGCATAAGAATTAGAATGAATTTTACATTTGTCTTTCAGCTTTTTTCCTTACAGTTTGTATCTGCAGGTCCTGTAGTAGGTAGAAGGAGCACATTTTTCACCTGAAGGTTTGGATTTGGGCACCAAAAATAAAGGAGAAAGAACCGAGGTGAATACAATTATAAATACAGGATTGCAGTTAAAATGGAATTTGCTACACACACACACACACACACACACACACAGATCAAGTCTCTTGCATATAGTGTTTCCCATGGAAGCTGAAGAATTAGAAAAATTATGTCTTTTCTCTGGAGTACTAAATCCTTCAGCTATTTTGAGGATCCCCATCCCTGCTTCTGTACCCTAACACCAGTGGACTTCCACTAGGCGTTATCAGAACCAGACTGAGCCATCCAACCCTCTAATGTGGGCTGCCTTCCTCTCATCTACCATGCCTGCAAACTTCCAGACACCATCACTGTCTAAAGGCCTGTGGTCTTCGTCCTGGCAAAGGCCTCTGAGCTGAGAGGAAGGGAGGCAAGTGCCAGAGTTTGGGTTCACCTGTAGACTCAGGAGGTAAATTAAGCTGCATGGTACCTTATCCAACATTTAGGATCATTCTTTATAATTTAATGAAATCACAAACGGATCTTATTTGGCTGTATTTACCTAAAGCCACTTAAGATTTCAAAAACTACTCAGTTACCAGCCTTTAAGACCATTGAGAATAGAAAAATATACATGTAGAGAAATAAGGTCAGAATTATGACTTTATGGGATAAAATGTCTCTGATAAAAACCTGTAAACTGTGTTACTATGCATTCTCCCATACCCACAGAATGTCATCCTAACATATATATGCACACCTGCACATACTCATACCACACACACAATATAAACGCTGGGTTAACACACACACACATATCCCAGCTGCACAAAATCATGCAAGCACTTCAGAGTGCCCACACTTGGCTCTCTAGCTAGTTTTCTCTGAAAAGATTCAAGACTTGGAAAATTTGATGACTGCACTTCTGGGTTCAAGAATGTTCAAGATCAGTCCAGGGTATTCTGTTGTCAGATAGCAGCTAGCAAAGATACAACTATTTGTGCTTTTTTGGTCAAAACTGTCAAAATAGTATCAAGGTTAATATGAGGCAATTAAAGGGTTCTTTTGGCTAAAATTTGACTTTTGGATCAACATAAAAAAGAATTAATGATTACAAAGAATTGAAACAAATAATGTCAGTGAAAAGTCATGAGCTCATAGGAGTACTATGAGAAAAAGTATATATATACACATACAATATATATACATATATATACACACACACACACACACACACACACACATATGGATAGCTAGCAAAGACTATGTTATTTTGGGGTGTCATTTTTAACATTCTTAAGGCTTTTGACCTTGCTAAGCTCACAGAATATGAAAAGAATGCATAATACCAAGTTCCAAAAATGTGATAAAAGCATTACATTTGCATACAAGAGATTCAATGGAAAGGATACAAGTACTTTTGTAGCCAGATGGAAAGATACTTAACACAAGTGAATCAAAAAAGTTGCAAAGCCCAAAATAGTAAAGCAAGGGAGGAATCTAACCTCATATTCATGAGTAGGCAAGAGAAGTGTTATTTGTTAAGTCCAGGGAAGTGTGGGTCCTGAGGTCAAGCACTTCTGGGGAGGCTTTGGGGTGCCTGTTGCATTGACAGACCCATTCCGACTTGCAGGGGTGGTAGGACACAAACTTCAGACTAGGCAGGGATTTGTCCTGACCTCTAGTGGTACTGTCTGGTAATAACAGGAAATAACAACTATCAACGTGTCAACAAATTTGAGAAGAAATGGCCAGGCATTTCTGTGCTTTGGATTGGGATCATCTCACACCAACCAGAATCTTTGGTTGGCAAATCAATTATTAGGTTCTGTAGAGTGGGATGAATCTGCAGAAAACAAGGAGGTTGTGGTGGGTGGTTGTGGGGGATGTTGAAAAAGTAGCATAGTGAGTTGAGAACCAGGGCTAAGACCTTACTAGGCAAGACTCATAATGAGTACATTTCTTCTCCCCCCTCCCCCCTCCTCTTCTCTCCTCTCTCTCTGTCCCTCCTTCTCCTTCTCCTTCCCCCTCTCCTCTCCTCCCTTTTCCTATATACCTCCTTTCTTCTTCTTCTTTTTTTTTTGTGGTATTGAGGATTTGCCACTTGAGCTATGCACCCAGTCTGTTCTTTTGTCTTTAACATAGAGCCTCATACGTGTACTCCAGTTGGCCTTGAACTCTGGAGCCTCCTACCTTCACCTCTTGAAAGGCTGGAATTATAGAGGTATGCTATCACATCGGGCTTTTCAATCCATTTTTCCATCTTACAGAAATGAAGCTGTGAATAAAATGGTTTCTCAAGCCTCCTCTGTAATATTGTGAGAACAAAAAGTATACACACATTTAAAAATCAAAACCAGTTCCTTGGTCGGGACACATTTTTTTTCTATAGCTAAATCAAATTCCTATAATGAACAGTATTATACTTTCACAAAAAATTACAACTCAAGTTTTATATCCTATGCTGTACTAACATTGAAGGCAAAAGCACTTGGACTGGTTTATTCTTTAGTCCCCTTAACAAATTGTTGAGAAAAAAATATAGGCCTGCTCAAT